CTCATCCTGAATTAATTGGATTCATGTCATGTCTGTGTAGGAATCAAATCATGGCAGAGAATGTGTGCATGTGAGCCAGTGTGCATTGTGTCGGTGTGTGTGTGCACATGTGTGTGTGTGTCTGTGCGGATTCACGTGTCTAAACATATGTGTGTGTGTGTGTGTGTCTGACCACCGGAGGAATCAATGAGCCCTCAGGTGGCTGTAAGTCTGTAATATGGTGTTCTTGTCACCTTTGATCAAGGTCAAGAGACGCAATGTGCAGCACTAACAAAATACCGGTGCACAATTTATACTGCCAGTGTCATTATGGTTTAGTCCACAGTGCTGTTTACGCAACTCTGGAGGCCCTGTTGGTTTTCTATTGGATCTGTCCGTGATGGGAACACTATAATACATTGGTGGAATGAGCCTGAATCCCAAGGCAAGCTTAGGTCTAATCTTTCTGCTCTGAAATTGAACCCTTGATCTTCAATATAAAGGTGCATCACTTCCCTGTCAATATAATTCAGTTCTGTACCTTCAGAGGTGTCCCTCGAGCCACAGCTTTCCTTGACGCTTTCTTTGCTGTGCTCTGCTGAATCAGCCGGCTTCTCCGCAGCTGATGGCGCCACAGGAAGCCCCCGGAGCTGCGTTCCCACACAGGGAGCTGAGGTGCTGGGCTCATCTGCCGCCGAGGCCCTGGAAGGTACCCAAACATTAGCACAGTTAAACCGACACCGAGCGCCGTGCGCCTCATTACATAGTTGGTTTCAGCGAGAGGAAAGGGAGGCACGGTGGCTGGAGGTGGGGGTCGGAATACTTTGTTGTTATCCAAGCATGCAAACGCACACTCCCTCACTACTGACAGAGCACATACTGCTGCTGTCAAATTGTCAGCATCTTTCTGGGGTATGGAAAAGTTTGTTTTTTTTCAAGCTGAGAGATGTGCATTTTTAACTCCTAGCTACTACGTGACCAATTAATATGAAATCTGAAAGGAAAGGTTTGAGCCATGTTTTTGTGCCAAAGTAAAATGAATCAGACAGATCATCTCGTAAATTCCACGATACCCCTCTTCTATATTCAAACTACTGCCCCGTTCTCAACCTGCCTGTTTGGAAACGGGGCTGTGGTGATGCTAGTTCCTGTCTTTTATCTGAAACTGTAAAAGTGACCTGCAGTAATGGAGCCAGGGCAAATGAAGACTTGCTGCGGGACTCCACAGAGCCACGAAGCTGCAGCTGCACAAACAGCTGCTCACCTTGAGTTTAATGAAGCTCGACTCAGTAAAACCCCAAACTGGAGAATCAGCTGCCTTTGTCATTAACGCGCTGTCGTCGTGATCTAAAATGAACAGTACATGAGATACGCCCACATAGAGACACAGAGATTTCTGGAAAATAAATGTAAATTACTCTTCTTTTTTACCTTTTCACCGTTTTCATGCGACCCACTGCATTTAATGAAATTTACCTGGCACATTAAATCTATTATTCCATGTGTTTTTATGCAGTTGTGCAGTCAGACACATTCATTTTCAAAATTCTTTCCATCACTAAATGACAGATTTGTTGGGTTGTTGTGCGGTGGCGGGGGCACGGGCTCCCTGAGGACTTCTATCTTTTATGTGTGGCTGGTTTTTCTACATAGGCTTTACAGGTTTTTTTAGTCCTGAAACTTTCCACCCACACGGAACCTTGAGTGAAACTGATATTAGTGAATTGTTCAGAATTACAAAGTGGGATTTTTATTATTATTTATGACTACTTTCACTTCCTCTTTGATTACTTTTGTGATAATAGTGACAGCTTCAGCCGGGCGTGGGATTAGCAGAGCTGATTGACTTATTCAGAATAACTTTTACCAAGCCACGTGTAAAAAAAATAATAATATCACACCCACTGCTTGTTACTTGCGTTACTTAATTTGCCCTCGAGCTCAGTCAAATCATTATCTGTCAGGCCTGCGGCTCACTGTAATCACCACTGGCTTTGTGTGAGAAAACATGCCCTGAACCAGCTATTAAAAACAGACAGGGGAAATATTGTGACAAGCTATCGCATGGCCTGTGTTGACGCTGCCAGTGAGGGACTGTCCTCCCCCACATGACTAATAATATGACAGGATCCATCGTGTAGGAGAGTCCCAGTTACACTAATTTAATCCGTCCCTCTGCTAAACACCTCAGCAACTCTCCACAATGCAGCAGCAGCAGCAGCAGAGTGACAGGAAGGCGGCAGATAAACATGACGTGCAGGGAAAATAATGCGTATTAAATGCTGTAGTTTCGAGAAGCAGCTTCACAAAGTTTTCATTTAAGTGGAAATAAAAGTATATGTATAAAACCATCTCGCAAACTATTATGTTTCCTTGTACCCACCTGGTATTTAGACATTTTGTTGTGATTTGTTTCTCAAATGAAAACAGCACTTTTCCCAATTTACACTCAATGGCTCATAATGAAAAAAATCAAAACAGAAAAATGTTTTCAAGTATCCCAGATGATATTGTGTTTTCAAAGATTGGACAATGTGTCTCATCTTCCTTCCACGATGCAAAAATGAAGCCAAACTATCCTGGATGCAAACACTGATCATGAGGCTGACGCCATTCAGAGCACAAGAATAAGCAGAAGCAATAAGATATCAAGGTTCCGCCACTACACACCTCAAGGCCAATCAAGGCCCTTTGGCTTCACTTGTCATCCATCTTTATGTACAGTTTATGGTTCAGACCCATTCCTCCTGGAACAAGATCTCTGGATCTCAGATAGTGTGATCATCAGGTTCTTGGTCATCTGTTACAAAGGATTCCTCCCTGACCCCGACATCCTTCCACTAAGTTTCCTGGAAATCCTTACAGTTGTTTTGGTCCAGTCATACAAACACACACAAACAAACTAATAAACGGACAGGGGGTGAAATCACGACCCCGTTGGAGGAAACAGTTAGCTCCTGACCAAAGACTCAAGTGTCATAGCAAAAGGTTTGAACACGTAGTGAGTGCAGCGGTTTCTGCATCATAGATGAAGGTAGAAAACCTGAAGGCGTCTGAAAACCTTCTAATTGCACACGATACAGCAGCAGGTGAGGTGTGTGTCAGACAGAAAGGAAAGCGTGCCCGCAGCAGAGGAGGATTAAAAAATAACAGCAGGCATCTTGTAGCATTTGTGTTACGACGGAGAGAATACTGATGGGTAAGATTCATAAATATATATCCACATCGACTGATATTACAGGTGCTGATAGCAGCCATTTGGTTCTGCAGCGGTATCAAGCTGCCGAGTATTACTCTGCTGCTTTCTCTATAATGCTGCATCATTCGTCTCAATGCAGGGGGAGCTCGAAAATGATCTGCACCCACATGAAAACAAAATAAAGAGCGATTTGTCAACACATTTCTTACAATAAACCCGTCTTTCATCATTAGAACGGCTCGCGTGGGAACGGTGTGGAGCCCAGACAATAGTCCCCCCCCGACTGTGTGCGTTCGTGTCAGGTGTGAGTGATATGAGCCGTGCAGCGGTCGATCCAGGCGTATCTTTGTGCATCCCTTCACAACTTATCTGTGCCTATAAGAGAGGCGGGAATCATTTTTCAATGCAAATGACGCAGCCCGGGGGCCAAACGCAGCCTCAAGCAGAAAGCTGCCTGAATGCAAATCTCACACCGTTCACCATTCCTTTCACTTACTGTGCCAGGGCAGTGCAGCGTGACATGGGGCTACCTGTTCTGCCCCCTGGTGTCTCCTGGGCATAGCTGTTCCGCAGAGCCAGACATTGTGCTGACCATACTGATGGAGCTCTGTTTATCCTCAGGTCATAAATCTCCCCCCCCGTTCCCACGATTCGGCGTCACCGCCCCCGACATCGGTCTGCACAACTCAAATGAGATAGCGCTGGTATATACGTCTTTGGTTCTTGTCTTCTCTTTTCATTTGTAAGTGTTTTTATCGCTCATGCAGCAGCATCACTCTTTTGCTAACACAGCACACCTGACCTGAGGAGGAGTACAACAGGGCGAGGTGGTCCTCAAACAAACAATCGGCTGTGAAAAATAAATGTGTTCCGTAAGCTACTGTAGATGAGTTTCCTTGCAGGGGCAAATGTGAAAAGTTCTGCAAGGATGCAAAAGGGTAAAAAGGTGACGGCAAACAAAGAAACTTCAACAGGAGAAGAGAAGAGTTGAAGTTCTACTCCCACTCTGTAAATAAAGCAGACACACACACACAGGCCACGTTGTCATGGTTTCTCTTGTGTCCATCTCTTCACTGCTGAGGTTCCATGCTATGCGTTTAATGAAAACTATCTGTCAAAGGGGGGGAAAAAATGGAGCCACAAGTAAATGTTGGCATCAAACATTGGAGCGTTTGGAAGGAAATGCTGCCCTGAGCCTAACGGCTGTGACAAGCAGAAAAAAAAAACCATGTTTCTGAAATGACAATCACAAAGTCATTTTTGATGACATTTTTCTAAATCTGCCGATATGCTGACGGACATAACACCTTGATGCTGGAAAGTGCTATTGATAGCTCTTCTCTAAAAGGCAGATTAAAGTGGAAACGTGCACTCAGCAGAAATGTCCCTATATGAGAAATTGCCAAGACCTCACTGTGACTCCATCACACACACACACACATTGCACCTGTGCAGAAATACAGGCCTCTCCTTTCAGCACAGGAAAGCCCACAGGAATCCAGCCTCTACAGTCCACTGGCAGCAAAAGGTTTCTCAGCACACTTCCTAGAAGCACAGATGGGGGGCCTCACCAAAACCAGGGCCCCTGGATGGCTTCAACATGCAGGACACTGAGGCTGGAGACCGACGAGTTCTCCCAAATGGAACGAGTCCGGGAAGAGGAAGAAGAGCGTTGGTTGCCACCCGCCAATAACCTGTTGTTTTTCTGGTCTATTTTATACCAAGATGTCTCAAACAAGCGTGTTAACAGAAAACGCGAAAGCAACAGCCACAAGACGATGCAACTGTGATAACACAACCGAAACACCACAAAACCTGCTTGACCGGATTTAACAAATGAAGGCTCACTTCGCTGCTTTTTTCATTGTCGTTCACTTCTGTTGTGATTATTTTTCCGTTGTGTGACTCTTCCATCACCGTTTTCTGTTCATGTGTTTGTCTGAGACGTCTCTGCCACGGTACGTTTACAATATTACAAAAGTTGAACAATTACTTCACAATTACACATCATATTTCTTAATTACTATAGTCAAGTGTTTGGAGGCATTCAGAACAGACGTTGAGGCGTATCCCTCCCTGGTATAAATAAGATATCAGCTATAAACCACAGTGTTTATTTCATTTTGTTTTACTCTGACTAATGAGATTCCAATGGTTTGAGCCATTAAATAAGAAGGCAAACCTCCCTGTACAGCAGGGAAGGAGAAAGACTGTTACCCCACAGGAATCAATAAAATATCTCATTATCATGTTCTGTGCTGAGACCTTGAAGGCTTCTTGATTGAGTGAAAGATGCTGCGTGACTCCATCAGCTGATTTACTTCACACACGCACCTGCTCATCCCACATGTTGTGCATGTTGAGACTGAAGCTCACTTCACGTTACCAAGAACTAGAACTCAGGACCTCTGCCAGAGTCAAACCACCTTACACACGTCTATCGAAAAGGAAAGCAGAGTGAACCTTCACCAAATTTTACAATGTCAATAAAGTTCCAGACATACTTCCAGAGAAATTGATGAATGTCAAAAGGAGCTGATTATTTTGAGAAACCAAAATGCTGGGTTCAAACTTGTGGGTTTGGCCAGTTAACAGTTAAAATCATGACTCAGCGACGCAACAACACTGCATCATACTTTCCACTCATGTCGGGGCTCAATCTTCAACCTTTTCTCCAGATAGTAAAACTATAACTTCGAGGATATTGAAGTTATTACAGTTTAATATAACCGCAATCATAACTTGCAATTACTGTGTATTTCTTTACTGTTAGTAACAACAAATTCACTGATTCACTTCTTTTAAGCACATCTCTGGTTCATGTCCAATCCCTCCACCTTATTTGGTGTAAATAAGTTCAATACTTATATTCCACAATCCAGTAAACGAACAAAGGAACACGCAGGTGAAAAGAAGCTGCATAGGAGGGAAACATTTTATCTATCAATTGGATTTTAATGTTTCCATGCGTGTATGAAGAATCCCTAAATTCCACAAATGCTGCGTGTCACTTCACCAAAAGCAAAAAAAATAAAATCAGCCCCAGTGGCAGTTAGATTTATGTGTTTGTTTTCAGGTTTATGTGCAATGGTTTCTGAGATATATCCACCAGGTGTGTTTGGTTATTCTGGCTAAGCGGACGTCTGCACAAGACTGAAGTTCAGTGCAATTATGTGAGGTCACCAGACTCTGTGTTCTAAATGTATAATTAAAGAACTATAATGTAATATATAGAAGTGTAATTTGTCCCACGCTAACGGAGAGAGAGTGAAACAGACAAACTCACTGAAGAGAGCTTGAGTAGGTGTTGTGAGGGTGTGCAGGTCTTTTAACTCCACCAGAATGTAATGAAGGTTAAATCAATTACAATGATACTCAAATAACTAAAAATGGTTAAAAATAAATCAACACGGATCTTTAAGGAAAGACGAAGTAGTCGTATGACTTATATTCTGTGGAATAAGCTCTGTCAAAGCTAATTTTATCTCAGGGTCCTCTAATACAACTAGTGCCACTGTTTGCTTTTCTGTTTTGCTGATTTTCACAGATATGAAGCTGAAGATTTGAAGCTTGGTGTCAAATTGTTCTTTCTACTCAACATTTTTTGAGAGTGACACTTTCCCCACACACGAGATGGAATAGTCAGTCGTGTCAGAACATTTCAGGGGCGATGATTATCATCATCAGATCTCACAAATGCTCAGCTCGTCGCAAATCAGGCTGAAACAAGCAAGTTATGACAAGTTCACGCAGCTAAGAGACAAAAGTCAAAGGATTTCAGGGCAAGATAATGTACGAGGCCTGATGCTGTTATAGGAACTTCATTGAATTGAGCCTTTGATGACGCAAAAGTCTCTGTGCAATACATTTCAATGGATTTACTTTCCCTTTCCCTCCACTGTACTGGGAGGAAGCAGAAATTAGGCATGGAGCGTAAACAAGACTCATCTTATCATTCTGTATATGCATCATTATGAATTAGGCAGACCTGTGATTTCCCTCTAGAACTGGAACAGCAGCAGCACTTCATACTTGACATTACTCCTTCTAGCTGTGGGTGTAAGGAACCATCTGGCGTCTGGATGTTGTACAAACGAATGTAGGGTAACATCCCGGTATCTCATACCCACTGACATTATCTCAGACATAATGACATGACACTGATGTGGTGTCGTCTAGAGTCTACGTCCTCCACCGCCCTTTCAGTAGTTTTCCACAAACTCAGATAGGAATCAAAGGCAACTTACCAGCTGGGTGACTCACTAACCGGAGCATCTGTTAAAAAGAAGGAAAACAGCAATGAGACAAATCGTTCCGAAGCAAAGAAAGTACATATTTGAAAAGTGACAAAACATAATTTCTTATAGGAAAGAGGATGCTCAGTTTGATGGTTCCAAACGAATTTGACATAGCTCAGGTCAGACACACACCAAACCAACAGACACCAAACCAATCTAGTGAAGTGTATGTAAGTATCATGGAAAAGTCTTCGGTGTTCTCCCTAAATTACAATATGAAACCAGAACTAACATAAACAATGTCACAAATGAACCTTTGTTCCAAACTTTCCGGTGTGAAAACTCCCCGAGTCTGAGACAGTGAACCAGGCGGTGAAAGGTAAACACAAACTCTAAAGTGATCTTGCATTCTTGTGCTGTATTGTCAAAGCAAAGGTACGCACAGCGAAGGTGCTGTTAAACAAATGCCATTATCGATTTCCTTTAGCTCGCACCATGTAAACTCATGTCATCTGTTGAGGGAGGGATCTGAATCTCAGCAGCTCTCTGCCCTCGATTACATAACAGACCTCCAACCACACACTATTATCAATGCCCAGAATTCCCCCTACGCATCCCCACAGCCCACTAAACAGATTATACCACACAGACTTGGTAAAAAAGCTTTTTAATTAAGCACTAATCGCTCTACTTTGTCCAAAAGAGCTCGTCCAACACCTTAAATCTCTCTATTTATCTGGGTGTGAGTTAACCGGGAGCTGTTAACGCTGGCCAGCCTGGTGGTAAATGTGTCATGCTTATATCTACATAAATGTCATCCAGCGAGGAGGAAGTTAACTCTGCTGCCTGAGGAAGAATCGAGTCGTGTTAAGATTAAAACAACATACAGCTGGCTGAGGTCACTCACACACATATGGTGAACTGATGAGATTACATTAATCGAAGAGGAGACATCGAATCTACAACATAGAGACAGTTCAGCTGAGACAGGGACAGTTTGACATATGGGAAAAAGGGAATATTTCACCTTTGTGGACAAGTTGTATTCAATTCTACCCGATTGGTACTTTATACTTTCTATTTCAACCTCACATGTAGTTTCATGTTAGAGGGGAAGCCCCTGCACACCCACACATTCCACCCACACGTGTTTTCACTTACTGTGCTAATTAGGCCTCCATCTTATCTTACTTGTACTTTTACTACATTCTACAGGGGGTTGCTTACTTCAGCCACATTTATTTGGCACTAAAATAGAGTCACTTTTCCTTCAAGCACTTGAATCCAAAACATATGATCGGCTTAATAAATATGATTCATTGTACAAGAAAAACAAATACGTCAAATCTCGACGAGCTACAACCTTTAAATATTCCTTATGGGTAAAAACACAAGAAATCATAATCCAATACTAATAAAACATGCGTGATAATGAACCACTGTAAATACAAGATGGATACTGTTTGATACCAGTAGTAGCTAGTAGTACATTTAATACTGAACATTTTTGGTTAATTCATTTATAATATTTAAACATTATTGTTTTTTAGGAACTTGCCAGAAAAGGATAAATGGAAAGGAATGGAAATGGAAAGCAGACGAGTCGGTGTGAAGCTTTAACACTAAGTTAAATAACAGAATTATGTCTGGGGGCCAGACAGAAATAACTGATTGGTAGAGAGGGACTGAACCTATTTCATTTATTTCACTATCTATCTTTGCAATACTGAAACGTTTAAAACTCACTTAACACTTAAAAACTGCAAAGATAATTAAGGATATATCCCCATTTAGAATATCTGCTGTACGGAGAGAGAATCTTGATATTAGGGCCAAACACTAGAGGAAATGACTGATTTTTCATCCAGGACGTGATGAGAATTTTTAGATTACGCTCTTCACAAAAAGTGTATTTTGATGCAAATCATATTTTTACTTCGGGGAAGTTTTGAATCACATCATAAGGGATTGGTAGACTTGAAAAAACTTGCCTCTGTCAAGGTTGTCTGAAAAAAACTCAATCAATTCAGCACCTGTTTAAACATTTTGATCACTCCTGAAAATATCTCACCTGCAGGAGAAATTGATGCCTTGACCTCGGTAGAGACGCCCTCCTGTCCAGCAGGAGGCAGAGTTTCGGGGAGTCGGGTACCGTCTGTGATTGTCTGTGATGCGTTTCCTGACGTCCCACTATCCTCCTTCTTTGACACCTGGACGGAACTGACACAGTCCAAGCTGATCCCTTTACTCTTCTCCTCAGGTTTCTCGTCGTCCGTGCTGTCGTCAAACACAAACTCTTCCCCCTGCTCCTCGTCTTCATCCTCTTCATCCTCCTTTGGAGGTTGCTGAGACATCACAGTCGACATAATTCCTGAAAAGGTGAGAAAATATTCACGTGTAAATACGGTTGTTCATCACTTTGAGTTGAAGATGACACCCGTACCACATTTTTACTGAAAAAGTTTCTTTAGACTTTGAGGGAATGGTTATTAAAGATTATTCAAGATTTGCATTTATTATATTTGATAGGGACGGTGCTCAATGATCAACAGACAAAATAATGTAAATGAACCAGGTCTATGGATATTTCATGTGCATTATACATATCATCCAAACAAACTGTACAACTAACCCATGAATACTATCATAAAAAAATAATCAACACATGATTAAAACACTACATTCAATAATGACTTTAACTTCCAGCCCTTACATAAAAAGATTTATTCGGATAAAGGCAAAAGGGAAATTAACTGGAGGACTGAAATGGATCCTGATCTTTAAAAAAAAACACACCATTCAGTGGCTGCTTTACAAAAACACTGGTATTTAAAATACCTTCAAGTGATATATTAGTATTTCTATCTGAACTGACATGAACTCTTGAACAAACAAGGCATCAGACCAAAATCCTCAGACTTCATTAGTAAGCGGCGAATCGAAATTGAACAACGTTTTCAAACACTTTGACCAAATCGAGCTGAATAAATGCACAACGTCCACACTCAGGCTGCACTGAGAGAGAAGCACAGTAAATCTGAGCACCGCTAACATGACATATGGCCAGAAGAAGGACTTTTAGAGTGGGGGGGGGGGTCTGAGGAGGCTTAGTGGCAGATTAATGTAGACACCCAGTCCCCAAACATTACTGACCTCAGTAATCTGAGACACTCATCTCACCTCGTCTTATCAATGAAAACAGCTTTAACTCCCAGTATTACTGTTTTAAATAATCAGAACTGATCAAAGTTGTCATGTAATAATTGCAAACACATTGTTCACAGGGGTTTTGCAAGAATTCTTCAACAAATGAGCATGTCATCATCCGTAACCATGGAAAACAGATTGGTTGTTTGCATATTTTCACAATAAAACAGCAATTTTCCACCCCACACGTGCCCTCAAGGTATTAAACTGCTGCAGCACTTTCATTATTTCATAAAAAGAGGGGGATTTTCTATGACGTACAGGCTGTCGTCCTGTACATGGTGGTGTAGCATTCCAGCACCCTGAACCTGCTTTGCATTTTGATTAGCACTGAACTTCTTCCAGCGCTGGAACATCGTCGGGGCCTGACGGGGCACTTTGTCGGGCTCCTTTGGGAAAATGACAGCACGGAGCCGCGGGCAGCAGAACACAGGTCCGGCTGTGAGGGGACACATCCCTGAAACATGCTGCTTGTGGATTGTAAAATTCATCGTCAGCATTTATTGTTTAACCTGGATACAAGCGCTGTCACAATGTCGGTTATACGGTTCTCGTTATCTTTTACTGCTGCTCGCTGCCAGCTCAGTTTGGACAAGATGTTTGTTCAGGAGCGGTGATGTCTTTCGGATCTTAAATTACCAAATATGTTTCTTTAAATAAGTCTTTAAATTACAGCGGTGAAATAATAAAACAGTCCCGCCGTCTTTATAAATGAGTCGTCTGCCTGTTTTACAAGTACAATATGCCAACTGCAGCCTTTGGACCCAGTTACCGCCTCTGTACCACAAACAAGAGTTCCTCCAGTCATCCCACTCGCTGGTCAAATTAACAATGACTCTTTTGTGGAGTGAAAACTTCAGCTCGGCCTCGGCAGGCATTGTTTCTGCATTCGTCACAGCAGCACTGATTAGCTCACAGGTCATTTGGACCATGGCTGTGCAGTCTACTGTCACATGCAAACTCAATCTGAGGAAGAATGGAGGATTTTATAAGAAGAAAACAGCGTTGTCCTTGAATGAGATGTATTTTTAAAAGGAAACTACAATGTAGGGTTTTATTGAAAATAAATTGTTCCTGTATTTCCACAAAAGAAAGCCACGGTGACTGAACTCTCACTCTTGAATACTCGCAGGAATGAATGGGGCTGACTAACCCAGAGCGCCCTGAGATCTCAAAGATGTAACTGATCATTACACATTGTTAAAACAACAGCTTGTGGCATAAATAAATGGTCAAAACCTACAGACTAAAAGGTTTTCATTTAAAACACCCTCCTCGATATCAAAACAACAGGTATTCTGAGCAGCTTTCCTTTGACGCAAGACATTTGGCCAAGTCTTAAAACAGACTCCAGCTTGGAAAAATAAAGAGCCCCGGGAGTGGCGCTGGGTGAAAGCTATTCTTGAGGGGAAAATAAGATACATCACAGAATAGAGATGAATCAAACTCCTACACACCCTGTCCCTGACCTACATAGAGCTCTGCAAACTCTCCCGCTGTGTCCCAAATGTGGTAATGAGTGGAGGAAAGGGAAGAATGTCTACACTCTCACGGGTGATCCACGACAAAACGGGCCACACGTTCACCGACTGAAAGCATCAAACATTGCATCATGTCTTGTCTTTAAATAAATGGTAATAAATAGTCCTCGCAAAAGCAGATTCTTAGACCTGATTCATGTCGTCTGATTCCAACTCAGCTCCCAACTTAATTCCCTGAGCTGCAGGGATATGTAATTTGCTTTGAAGAGAGAAAGTTAAATGAAAAGGTTTAAAAGCAGCAGATGAAAAAGTGGAGTTTCCAAACCAGTGACTGGATCCAAACTTTCCAGTGAGGACTTCTGGGCCGCATATTTAGTTCTGGCCACTGATTTACACCAACTGCGGACAAACCGCTCAGCCATTGGACAGTGGCAGTAGGTTGTATGAATAGACAAAGGAGGAGAGCAGCAGCTGGGGGTGACTGAATAAACAGCATTGGAGAATCTAACAGAAAGTCACTAAGAGCAACCCTACTTTAGAGTTTTGCTTTAACAGAAAATGGCAGACAAACACTCCGCAGACAAAGAGCAAGCGGTGGACCATTGACAACAACAAACAGTGCCAGGCAGGGGATGATTCTGCCTCTGGCGCCTGTTCCTTTTTCAGCTTCCCTGAGGATTTCCTACGAAGAGATACGAATGTGACTCGGCCAATTTAGGAAGCGCAAACAGCTCCTTGAGAACAGACGGAATATGTCTCTCTTTGGATGTCAAAAGGCAGAACAACCTGAGTGGGAGGCTGTTCACAGACATTTGAGGATTTCATGGATTTGCTTTGACATCGCGTAACCTCACTGAAAGATCGTCAAACACAGGAGAACCCAGAGCCTACTGCATTATAAATCATGACTAGGACGAATGTTTGAAATCTTAACTTTAAATGAATATTGGACGACTGTGTGCCACGGGCCATGCTGAATATAATATCACACTGTAAACACAACATGATAAGAGGTTTATCTATGCATATTTGATTTGATTTCTGCTTTCCCCCAGGTTTGCTGTCATGTTGCCACTGCTAAGACATGCAGGGATGTATTATTCATTCAGAAGCCAGTCTGGCCTTCATCTGCCCTCTGCTGCAGAGGAGGGCTCCAGTGGTGTCGGCCCACAACAGCAGTGATGTGCAGGTGGTGCCGCATTTGTCAAGGACACGGTGGGAGCAACCTCCACCGCCCATCTGCCATTTGTGCTCACAGAATAATAGTCCGCCGGACTGGATGTACGCTGTGCAAATACTGCACAGAGATAAGAACGTCCTGAACGGGTTGATGAGACAAGGCTTTTGTTTATCAAGAGAAATCATCACATAAATCTATGTCCAGTTTACCCGTTTATCTGGATAATGCTGGCACACATTTTTACAGAATTTGGCTCATTAAAGATATTAAATCCATTAACACACAGACCATTATTACCTCCACTGAGAGGGTCACCGGTGTCTGCTTGTTTATTTGCTCACAGAAGTACAGGAAAAACTGTTAGACTGATTTCCAGTAAACTTGGGAAGAGCCAAGATTTTCTTCCCCTACTTTCGTTTTTATTGGAAAATGAATCATTTAGGTTGTCAAACCACTTCCTCTATACTTCTACAGTAAAAACTAGATGACCGTGTGCTGGATTATTAGGCCTCAGCGGAGGAATATTCTAGAGTTCCGTCTCCAGAGGCTTGACTGGGCTGTTGCTCCCTGCAAACTATTCAATTCAATAACTTTCTTAGGGTCTGTGTTTCTGAAGTCTCTTCCCGTCTTCATCTCACTTTTATATTAGGGAGCATCAGGACATCTCGCTGCTTCCTTATAATCATCCAAATATGAAACAACATATGTATCAAACCTTAAACTCATCTCTTATATCTCAGGTCGATAGTCCTGTCTTGTCCTGTGAACAAGATATCGGTGTCAGCAGTGAAGCGCCGCAACTGTGGACTCACTACCCACAGACAAAAAGAGGAACGGTCAAAACCAAGCTCCAGGTCCTGACTTTCAGTTCCTAGTGTGGGTCAAATTCCAAAGACAAAGGGTCCTACACTTTTTTCAGTGCAAACTGAGAGGCCTGCATCCCTGGGGATGACACAAGAGAGTTGCAGGGAGGGCACGGAGGGACAACCGTGAGGCAATGACGGGTGAAAGACGAGACATGAGTTGAAGACAGGTGAAAGGGACAGGTGTATTTTATGTGAAGACAATCGGATGTACGTTGCTATAGTTTTGGGTAATTGACTTTGCTGACTCAGCAGTGGTTGTGAAACAGCTTAAAAAGGCACTAAGGGTACTTAAAATATCTTAGTGCCTCTTACTGCCACAGTCAGCAAGAGAAACATCAGAGCCCTTCAAAGAATCAGAACACGGTTAAATCTGAATGCAGGCTTTTTTGGAATTAGTGAGACTAACACTCAACAAGGACATGTCAGTCACAAATAATAACCCCTGAAGTCTCACATGTTAAAGTAGCCCATGTCTGAACAGTCATACAAACAGGCATTTAGCACGTAGCCACTAAGAAATCAGTTTTTGTCTTGATTTTGTCTGAGTGGGAACACTGCTGCCTCTGTACAACCAACAGTTACAGAATCCCTGCATAATTCATGCTAATGCCTTTCAAACTTCACACTTCCAGGTTCATAGCTGAGTAGTCACATGATTATTTGCCCAGACTTGGCACAGCTTGTCCAGAGCCATGCAGCTGTTTTCACAAGGTGAGAAATCCTCATGACATGAACTCACCTTTATGGGGAAAAAACGTCCCCTTTATGATATATACCACGTTTTAGCTTTTTCCTGCCAATTCTTTTTAGTAAATGACGATAAAGCTGCAAAAACTTACTGAGCTTCTGTGCCTTTTAAATCCACTTTGTGGAAGACAGTAAAGTCTACGACCTAAGTGTGAAATCTTTTCATTGTTCCAAGTGAAAGCTCCAGAAGTTGGTTCTGGCCTGATCTTACAACACCAGAGTTACTACAGTAACTGCACCTGGGACCACAGAGGGACATATAAGGTACAGCTAAAATGACGCAGACTTCTGAGACTATTACATAAGTACTCACTGCACATGGCTGGGATCACACCCACTGTCAGACTTGGCACACCTGTAAAGTTTCATGACTCCATATAACATGGTTGTGATAAAAATCTGTCCACAGAGTCCTCACAACTTCTGTGATAGTTCTCACAATAGCCAGCGTTTCCAGGACTACACTCTGCTATGACGACACACACGGACTCAAAACAACGCTGTCACAGCTGCTGACAATTAGGTTTTTGGCCTGTGCTGTCATTACACTCTGAAAATGTTGTCAGACATGAACTGGGTTATTTCCAGATCACTATTATCCGGACATGTTCTGCACTTTGCCTGTCACATCTGACGAACACAGCAGGAGTCTGAGTCACACTCATTCAAAACAACAGGAAAATGCAGGCGATGGATGGGCGGAGCCTGGGAGGAGACAGGACGTGACGTGTAAATTCTGTTTACAACACATCAACACTTCATCTCAGTGATGCATCTTAAAACTAAATCATGGCGGTGTGAGCGTAGCCTAAACTTTAAGGCCCAATTAAACTCAAAGTGCTTTAAACTCAGGCTCCAGATATCAGGGGAGGAATCTGTGTCATTCTTCAAAAACTAGTGTGCTGTCAGCAGAGCTCGCAGAATATAAGTCAGGTCGTGTTTGGGCAACGTGCTGCAAGTGCAACATCAAAGTGCAACAGAACTCGGAAATGCTCCCAAATTCCTTCTCATGGTCAATTACCTGACATTCCCAGGGGATGTCACAGCACGGCAGCAAACTTCTGACAGGTGAGTCATCACTATCAAGTGACTCCCTTGACAACCAAGGTCCTTGCATGTGTACATATGATTGTGTGAGTGTGAAATGGTTGAATGAGTGGCAAAAGGCAGAGGGTTCCCATTGATAGAGAAGTCTGTGTGGTAGCTCCAGGCCATGCATGCATGGATTGTTAATGTCTTTGGGAAGTGGTGGAATGGGACCAAGGAGGGGGGGGGGAAAAAAGCCAGATACAGTGAGTCCATGGAGTTTCTAAGGAGGACAGGCTCTTAGACTTCCGGCAAGTGAGGCACAAACAGTGCTCCAGCTCCAAATGCAAATTAGCAACATGGTCAGAGGTCCCCTTGCTCCCCCCTCTCCATGCCTCTACTCCCTTGTCTCCCCCTCTCTATTCTCCTCAGCATAACAGCAGCGTGAAATCCATCCTGGGAGGGGCCATTGTAGTGCGGGAAGCGACCGTCCAACTGGAATGGTTAAGACCAGGGAGCCTCTTTTTACGGCCCGGAGGCTTTTGGAGGAGGTGAAGTGCAGCACTGCTGAAAAACAGCCCGGCCAGAGGTGTGGGTCTGGGATGAGCCGGCAAATCTCTCACTCGTGCTCCCTGGTCTCAGGAACTGGGAGCTATCATAACAAGGCCCTGCCGCTCTGTGGGGCCGGTTTAATCGCCCATGATGGTGTGGACTCTGCCGATCTGCCATCCCCATCCTCCTCTCCTCTCCTCTGCTGCTGCTCCACCTCCTCCGCCGGCCCTGTGGTGTCACTGAGGGGTAGAGAGGCAAACAGAAAACACCCCCCCCCCACACCCCAAAACTCCACACACACACACACACACACACACACACCTACTGCACAAAGCTGCTGTCTCTGTAACATGCTGACCATGCTGAGTGGAAGAGGGGGGGCACAGTAGAGACGAGGAGATAGGGAAGGTGTCTGCAGGAGAAGAAGGACACATAGAATGCATCTCACCTCCTTGTCCTGGGTAGTGTGTCCTCCAAGAAGCTGCAGACCCTCCCGGGTGACCCTTCAATCCCCGCAGCCTCCCATAAACCCCCCGGCTCTCTAGCAGTGCGCCGGGTGCAGCTCACTCATCTTTACGTCAGACCTCCGGAGCTGTTTACTTTCCCACAACTTCTCCCCTGCACCGTGGAGCACGCGCAGCTGAGGATGAGGACACTGCTCCCTCCCCCTCTCTCTCTCTCTCTCGTTCTCTTCTTCCCTCTCTCTTTTCATCAGACGGCTTCCTTCTCTTCCTTCTTCTCTTCCCCCCCCCTCTTCCTCAGCCTCTCTCTGTCCTTTCTTTCTCTGCTGTGTCCCTCCTCCCTCTCTCCTTCTGTCCAGGCAGCGGCGCAGAGCAGGGCGACGGCTCTCACACACAACCGGCCAATGGCGGAGCGACAGACTGACGCGTTCGGCCAATGGGAAGCCCGCATGGGGGCATCAGCGCCAATCAGAGGAGCGGTTGAGAAGAAGAGGGCGGGGCAAAGGGAATTAGGGGCGATGCCGCCTCGCAGCACTTCCGCATCAGACTGCAGGTGTGTGGTCATTAGTCACTGAATTCAAATCATTATTACATTTTATTTATTTGAGCTTTTTAAAAAAGGCTGGGGAGACTTAGCAAAGCAATGGATGTTAGCCTTTTATTCACATATTTTTTTAAATATTCTTCTCTACATGTTTTTATTTAAAAGGATTTTTATAAATCAAAAATATACTTTATACCTTGACCTAACAACAATAACAATTGGAAAATGTGAATTAAAAAATATTATAAATAGCAAATTAATTGACGCAATCGATTTTAGCCTTTTATTTATATTTTATTTTGTTTTAGTACTTCTCTTCATGATTTTATTATATAAGATTCTTGGCAACACTGTCTGTTTTAAAAGTTCCTTATGCATAGACTTGACTTGATTAAAGACAATTAAGAATTAATACAATTTGAATAATACACAATTTTCAGTAGTAAAGTTGCTTCTTTTTTAATTTATTTATTATCATTAAAGCAGGAAGTTCTTTCACAATAAAGGAAGTCACTTAAAATGTTAATATACAACACAGATAATGAGATTGTATCAGTGTATATCCATTAAGTCACACATTGATATGTTCTTTTGTTTATTTATCTACATTCTATTGATAGGATGATACAAACCTTGTATTTAAAATCTTACTTCACCGGGAGACTACAAGTATGAAAATGAACTTATGTATCGAAACTATAAACACAAATAAAATACAACAAAATGGATCATCTGTGATATATTTTTACATTATATATTATATGTAATGTTCCTGAAATGTTCTGTAGAATGTGAAAAATGTCTGAGTGAGTTGCTCTGGACAAATGCAAAACTGAAAGAACTAAATTCATACAAATATGTCAGGATGGAAAACAGATGCCCTAGAAGACACCAACGAAGATGATAATGAAACAAGATTTGAGAGTTGTGTCGATGCAGAATTTGTCACCTCACTTCCTGCCTGCCCAGACTCCAGCCCTCTCCTCAATAATCCAGAAATGTTCCTGATGTCGTGAACACATCTGACCTGAACCATCTCTTGCTGCATTCTTCATAATGCGAAAGACAAACTCTGGAAAATATCTTGACCCAATTTTTTTGGGCCATTTTCCATAATTTATGTCTGAAAACAGCTTAATTGGCATTGTAGAAGCATTTGAGCTACAATGCATTTTAATTACATGCTTTATATCATACAATATATATATTTTATAGATATTTTATCCAGATTTGATAGATTTTTGTCTTTTTTCTCTAGACTATTCTGTGACCACCAAGGCTTCTGTCTGCTATTTTTGACCTCATACTACCTACAGCAGTGTTTCTATTTCTGCCTCTAATCACATTTACAGTGCTGCAGGCTCAAGCAGCTTGTGCAGGAGTCGCTGCACAACGAACACGAGGTAACGTTGGAGGTCAAGTACAGATTTAAATCCCAATTCCTCCTCGACTCAAGCTCAATTACCCACATGCACATTTAATTAGTCTGCCAGGGGGAGAGAAAAAAAAGATCACCGTGTCACTGTTGTCCAGAAGATTTATTAAAACACATTGAACAAATACACAGAATACAAATAAAAAGATGACAATTCACTTTTTTTTTCATTCATTTGCTATACAGAACAAATATCAGAACCATAACACTGCTCGGAGCTCATTGTCTGTAAATGCTAGATACACTACCGCCTCCTCAAAGTGAACCGTCATGTCAAACGCTTCACATGCTGTGCATTCGCTGCAACAAAGGTGCCTTTTATCAGGGTCTTTTGGTAGCTTTAGAAGCCATGTTAATAAGCATGTACATACATTGTTAACATATTTATAATATTAGACTGAAGCCTTGTTTTCTAACAGACGTTACATTCATACTGACTTCAGTTTGATTGCATTTCATTGCAGTATGTTTTTGATGTCGTCTCGTGGTCGTCACTCCAGAGGGAAAAGACAAGATTTTGACTGATGAGCACACACGGCGCACACTGCAGTTCTGTGGCAAACACCATCCAGCAGACATTCATCTTTTTTCTTTTTTCCAGTTTGATACGTAAATCTATAGGAGACGGACTTATCTCTGAAAAAAATCTTTCAAGTATTTACATGTTTCTGAGGTTGTATCTGTCAAGCAACCTAATACATGTCATGGTCGAGTATTCGGGGGACGAGAAAGGAAACACAGCGAAACAAAACAGCACTGATTAACACTAATATGATGCACTTTCAAAATGATTCTGGTCGAGTTTTAGTCGGGGATCTGAGGGTCAAAGAGGCGGCAGTCACAATCAGAGTTAAGTGAAAAAGATGAGAGCACCTCAGGACAATCATCCAAATTGTCGAAGAGGAGAATAAGAAAATACGCTCGCCGCCTCTGTGCAACACTTCCTCTTCAGTTTAGATGAGTCCAATCACAGTCGTCATCCCAACATTCCTAATGTCAAATAAGTGCTGCGGCAATGTCACAATTGGCGATGCCACCGGTCTTGGAAAAAGAAAATGTGTCGATGTCGAGAGAGGAATTTTCACTTTGTGACCAAATATTTGAGCCTTTGTAGAAAATAAATGGTCTTGGATTTATAGAAGATTGCTTTACATAGTGGACAGTCACTTTAGGGCGTGAGAAGAACAGATGGAATGGACGGGATAAGTGGATAAACGGGGCTGATGTGCCGTCACAGCAGGTAAAGCAAAGAACAAAACACATAACTGAGGAAACTGTAAAAGTGGAGACATCACCTAAGAGTTAATGTTGTGCAACACTGGTCCTTAAAAGCTGATATATAAAGACAATATTCCTTCAAATGTAGGTTCAGACTGCGACAATAACAGTTTCAGTCTTCACCTCTGCATCGAGGAACTAACTATACTGGATCCTCTTCTTTAATGGCACCAAATACATCTAAGTTCACATAAAGAGAAGCAAACTAAAGCTTGTTGTGCAACAATTCAAAAGTTAATGTTCCATCGCACCTCAAGGATTGAAGTTCTTATTCAGTTTTATCAGCGGGAGGGAACTGGGGAAAGTCCCTGGGATGTAAGAGAGAAATAAAAAGTCGCTCTCCACTCGGAACTCCGTGGGTTTGACCCTGGATGTGGATGTGGACCAGATGTGTTTTTGTTTATAGTGCAGTCCAGGGGTGTAATTCACAGAGGAGGGGGGGGGGGCCCAGGGGACATGTCCCCTGCACTTTTTCAGAAGGCAGAACAGGATCCCACCACGTTTTACTGTAAGACAACGATATATATAAATAAATAAAATAAAAGCATCCTGCAGGCACTATGAGGACGGTGGAGTATTAGGGCCACGTTGAATAAACACGTTCTGAGAGTTCAGGAAAAAATTGAAATTTTGCAAGAATTAAGAATTGTAATTTAGGACACGTGTCATTTTACAAAGGACATATCAGAAGATGAGGAATGTGGAGCTTCTTGTCAAGTCTCACATAAAACCCAACATGTCATGTTTTGGCACATCAGCTCTACATTCGACATCAGGAGTACTGGTAATGGTCTGCAGGGTTAAACCTGATTACATCTGCATGTTAATCAAAGAGGTTTCACAGTTTCACAGTGAGATTGTTTGAAGATTTTGATCCTTGTTGCTTCTTAATCTATTCTCACAAAATTACAACTTTATTCTTGTAGTGTTTTCAACTTTATTCCTCATATCTCTGAATGTCTTTTACTTAAACGTGACCCTAATATCCCCTCGAAGCTCATTCAAACCGATTCAAACATCCAAACTCAAAAATGGCCCAACATGTCCAACATCCCCATTTCAGAGAACTTTCTTTCCAAAGTAAGCTCACGTTATAAATATTCACAATGAGATCATGTTGGATTATCAATTATTAATTATTTCATATGAGCACAGTCGTCTCACAGAAATTCCAATTCATGAAACATTGAATATCTCAGCGTTTAGTTCAGTTTGGAGACTGAACCAACTAATATATGAGAGAGAGAGAGAGTGTAGGAAAACTACCACCCATGCACTGTACGTGTAGAGTTAATTTAATATCATAATATATAATCATAGAAACCCCATGTAAACCATAATTTTATTATGTTTATAAGTAGTTTTCCATCTCTCTCTGTCACAACCGTCCATTTCTTGAAGGGCACATATCCAATTTATTTAAAGACACCGTGTTTTACCTCGTGTCGGGGTATAAGAAAAAAAACAAAAGCCCTTTTGAGGATTTGTGTCTGTCTCCGTATCCCCCCCCCCATTCTAAATCATAATCCCGCCCCTGGTGCAGCCCCACCGGCCTCCAGGGTTAAGCTCTACCGCCACTACTAACATTCAAATATAGAAAGAATCACAAATATCGTACCATACACAGAAATACTAAGTCATCTCTGAAATGCTTTAAAAATCGTTTCTTCTGCTCTGCCCGACCTTCATACGTGTTTCCAAGCCCGGCGTCTGATTTCATCCATGTATTGTACACGTCTGTTACTATGATTAGACCTATGTGAGGTAAAATAAACAGCAGTCTCTGAGTATATACAGTACAAGAGGCCAAACCCTCACAGGTACTGCAGTCGAGTGTAACTGCAAGTTACCAGCGGGTGGCAGTCTTACGAGGATTCAGACAGACTGTGTCCAGCTACTGCATACATGATAATAGCTTCTGATGCATTCAAATCAATACTGTATCCACTGGTTACTACATGAATGACAAAAGCACATATTCATTTAAAGTAATGATATCGGCCCTCGATAAAAACAATCTCTTATCAAACTATGATTGAAGACGTCCTTGACAACGCTCGTCTTCACAGAGGAGAAGCTCCAGTGGGGCACAGTCACAGTGTACGATG